GGAAAGTTTTAATGTGATGCGTGTTTTTTTTTTTTTAATTGTAGGGGGTAATTCAATAATTGTTTTTTTTGGTTGCAACCTTTTTTGGTCGGATAGAGTTTGATTCCTACGCGCACGGACTTTCTCTCCACTTTGAACTTTCCCCAATTGTTTTCTATTTTCCGAGCACGGTGCGATTTACTCCTCTTGTTGCAGTCGGCGGTCGTAGTAATGGCCGACGTTGGTGGTCGTCGATGGTCGAAGCGGAAGGCGGTGGCTCTTGTCTGTCGAAGCGGAAGGCCGCATTATCTCCCGCGGCGGGTAGCCCAGGTATGTTTATTAAACCCTAGTTTTTCTTTTGTTTTTTTTTTCTCGTTTTTTTTTTCCATCCGTGTGTGTTATTTCTTGTAATTGCAACTCAGTTCAAAAGCAAAAACATAACTATATTGAAATTTAACATTTTTTTTCCTGAAAGTAGCGCATGCATATTCTTTAAGGCATTATCTCAATTGAATCATGCCAATATTCGATATTTGTGATTTTTTTGTGTTGTCTCTCTTGAATTGAATAGCATTCTTTGATGGAAAGAATGCAAGAAAAAATTTTGAAAACTTGTTTAGTGAGGGTTTTCATAATTCATATTGTAATCATCATATATTTGTGACTCATGAGATCCCACTTGGAAAAAAAAAGGAAAAAAAAAAAGAGTAGATGATATATGATACAATTCATTTCTGATTGGAGTTGGGGTGGGACAGGACCAGAAAAGGAATAACTACTTCACTGCTTCCTAATAAAAAGAGTTTTTTATAGTTAAAATCTTTTTTTTTTTTTGGAAATTCTTTATAGTTAAAATCTTAGTGTGTTAAATTGCAGAACTGAAAGGGTCAATCAAGTCGCGAAACCAAAAGTGAAAAACACGAATGCTCAACCATGTTAATGCCAACATGAGATATGTTTTTGAGAGGCCAGCTGATGTATCCTGCAGGACAGTATAAGCACAAGCAATGGGGGGAGGTCAATCTGGTTAGTATTTTTTATCAATGTCGTTTATCTTAATTGTGAATTAGGGAGGTAGTCATGGGCAGTGTGCACTGCAGTTAGTGGTTGTGTGCCTCTTGCATGATTTTTGTGTGCCTATACTGCGCCATCACCCCTTATAAGAAATGGGGCAAGTTAATCTGGTTAAAATTTCTAAACACTTTTGTTTCTCTTAATTCTGAATTGGGGAGGTAGTCATGAGCAGTGTGTACTTCAGTTAGTGGTTGTGTGCCTCTTGCACGGTACTTGTGTGCCTATATTTCTTACTCGTTCAGTTGTTACTTTCGGGTAATATTTGATTATGTCTCGTCTACTATTTCGCAGGTGTTCTTCCCGATTAAGCAAAGCAATCATTTCTATTTCGCCTAAGTGGACTTTGTGAATGAACGCATTGACATTATTGATAGTTCTGCTTCGACGGAGGCCACTTCGAAGAAGTATGGTGACACTTTTGTTCATTTGGTACATTATGTAACGGTTCTTCTTTTTTTTTTCTTTTTTTTTTTCCTTCTTTGTTTGTGTGTGTGTGTGTGTGTGTGTATGTTGCTTTTGGGTTGGTAGATGATGATGGTACTTTGTCTTTTGTAGCAATTATTGTTGTTCGAGTTTTTCAAAGCCGCTAGTGAGGGATATAAGATGGTCTGTGTCTTGATTTAGAGCTCAAGAGGATGCCGATGAAGTGGCAGGACTCGAGGAACAAAGTCGACAATGGGGTTTATGCTATGCACCATATGAAAACTTATGTTGGACAAGGGTGGCGAGATGGGAGTGTGGTCTAGTTAAGGGCGACATTGTAACACCCCTAAATTCTGAGATATTTAAAACTTATAAAATAAAGGCAAATCCATTGATTGAATCCCAAACAGAGCATAGAGCTAACCATAAGTTTCAGGGTGCTATGCCACACCTAGGTTTGAGAACCTAGGTCACAGGCTAAGTTAACTAAGAATAATAAAACCTTAATTCAATATTCAAATACAATCCCAAGGCACGCAGGCCAACTACTGAGCTAAGGATAATTAAACTAAGCCCAAGGCTCTGACTAGCGCGCTCCAAAGCTAATACTCATCACCTGAAAAACATTCGGTATAACAACCGTCAGCGAATAATGCTGGTAACCCACTCCAACGCGTTAAGTACAATATAGGTAGATATAAGAAACTCATTTTGAAACTGGAATACATATATACTTACGAGACTCTAATTTAAATCCAAGATCAAGACTCAAGACACGTTAACAGAGTCAACATTATAAAATAATCATAAAAACTAACAGGCATCCTAAGTACGCAATACAAGACACGACAGGCAGATAAGCATACAAATAACAAGTAGAGGCAACGAGGGCATTCAATACAATCAATTAGCGAGTAGTCATCAAAGCACACAATTCATCCTCCAACCTTATACCAAGTTCCAACCTTGTAGCTCCCCTCCGTCCTTATATCAGTTCCAACATATACCTCCAGGCCACCCTTATATCACCACCCCTTATGCCTCTGGGCAACTACATGCCCCCACCAACAAACCACCTATCAACCACCAACATATCAAGATGGTGTCGCAGTGCCATTCAATGATCCGCACCTCTAGTGCCACTATCAAGGGGTTAGCGCATATAGCTCTAACATGACACCGCATCACTTATAACCTGACCCATGCTCAACGGCAAGCTTGTCGAAGGTGGGTGTGTGCCTTTAGCCCAGTCACTGCTATGGCCTGTACCTTTAGTACAATGACTGGGCACAAGTGGTGTCAACCGCGAATAATTCATTTCCAACAATCACAATCTCATCATCATCATCATCATCAATCACACCGGCCATTGCGCAATGACCACGATACTCATCACCATTCAATCAATCAATACATAATCAAATAACAATCAAGACATGACAACAACGACATGTATTACTCATAAATTCCTAGAACGATAACTAAAACACCAAACGAGACTCATACATGACAAACGGGGTACAACGGAACACGGGGAAACAACAAACGAGGGAAAACATCACGAACCCCGACCGATTTCCAGCGGGTAGGTGACCACCCGCCGGCGGTTACTCACCATTCCAGCGAGTGGCCGGCGGGCAGACCACCGCCCGCCGGCTGCCTGCTGGAACAGTGGCACGGGCAGTGGGTAGGTGGCGGGTGGTCAGTCCCCCCACTTATACACAGGTAACTTTCGGTCCCGGGATCTCTCGTGGAACCCAAAACCATGTCCAAACACATTCAAACACATAATGACAACACCACGTATTCAATTAACGGAATTAAACCAAGAATCACACCAAATGCGTCCTAATACGATTCCTATACATACCAAGACCCAACATAAATCATATAATGGCCCAGGAGCATCCGGAACCACAAGAACATCAAGAAATCTGTATGCAAAGTCCTAAACACAAATCCTAGGCTAGACTCAACACCCGATCATGCATAATCTCACCCAAATATACCAAGGACATCATAATACGAAATTCAAGATATAACCCTAGGGCTCTAGACATAATCAAAATACAAGATCATTCTTTTAATCAATCATAGTATCAAGAACATCAAGATTATCACATAAACACAACATAAACCCTAAGCAAGGCTCTATCAAGACTCAATCACAGCATTAGACATACGATTATCAAAGGAGCCAATAAATAAGATATAGCAAGGAAAATAGGTTTTGTCGAGACATGGGTTACCTCTTATAGCCCTAATCGATATCCGTGGCTACTAAGGTTCTTCTTTCTAAGATTTCCCTCCAGTGGATTCCTCTACGTTTGGTGGCAGGGGATCCCTTTGTAGGTGTGTGGTAGAATTAACTGTGGTAGGGTTTCTAAATGCTTCCTAAGTCCCTATATATAGATTTAGGAGTCCCAACTAGGGTCTGAATCGTAAGGGTCCACTTATCCTATTTCTTATAGGATTTAAGGATTTTGTTTAAGGATAAGGGTCCATGGTCCATTGTGGACCACACTAATTAATTGAAGGGAATCCTAACTAATTTTAAACCCTTTTTAATTATTATTAACGAGATTGATTAAATGATTAGTCCAGGATTAAATGTTGTAACACGAGGTGTTACAGACATAGTGGCTCTTGAGCGCTTACGCTTTCAGTACATGCAGGAGATTTGCACTGTAGATATCAATGCCAACCGTACGAGTAATGTAGCAAATGTGATGCGCTATCTTTCGGGAGGGAGTAGGACCATAGTTTAGGTAGTTATATGGGGTTTTTGGTGCTTGACTAGTTTTTTTGGTAGCTTCTGGGTTTTAGTATATTGGGCATTGTCACGATTTGTGTATGCTTTAATGTTCTGCTTTCACCCGTAAACTTTGTGTATAACTTAGTTGCCGGGTTTTTTGGAATATTAATATGTTTTTGTCCTGCAATTTTGGCTTTTAGTTGTTGGTATTTTTATGTGCTTCTTTGTCTAGTTCGTGTGCTTGTGAAGTCATTTTCCAAATTGCTACGTCGTGTTTAATGTGTTGGCAATTTTTTTTCTTGTGTGCTAAGCTCACAGTTCATCTGTGCCTCGGTTCCCTAAATTGTGTGCAATGGTGTTAAATAGTTCGTCGGTGCCATCAGTAATCTTTGCTAGATGCAGCCTAGTGGTCGTAGTTTTAATCTTCCGCCGGTCGCTGGGCCGTTTTCAATATGTTTGTTCCAGTTTTTTGTTTTGTTTTGTTTTGTTTTGTTTTGTTTTTTTTTTTTTTTTTGTTTTCGCGTGCTCAACTCTAGGTATATCTGTGCCCCGGTTCCCTAAGTTGTGTGTACTTGTGGCTAATAAATATCTTGGCGTGATCACTATTCTTTCGCAGATGCGGCCCTCAATTCTTTTCGCGTGCTCAACTCTAGGTATATATGTGCTTCGGTTCCCTAATGTGTGTACTTGTGGCTAATAAATATATATTTATATTCAAAAAATGCAGTAATAAGAGAAGTACTTCAATACAATAATATCATCAAAACATGTCCAACTCAATATTATCATCAAAACAAAATACTTTTTATCAATAAAATAAAAGTTATAAGCATTCTGAAAAGAAGTACTTTGACCAATGCTCTCGAAGCTCATTTATGTCGTCGATAGAATACGGACTATCGCTCTCAAATGCCTAAGACATTTCTCGTGTCGGCTGGATCAATTACACCGTCATCCCAAAGTCTTGATGTAGAGTAATACGGATCACCCTCTCTGAGTCTCTGTCATATTTCTCTTCAATTTTTGCCTTGAAACTTTCCTCTTCTGCCTTTCCCCACTGCATAAATAAAGTGCATTGTTAGCTGTTGCTCCAAGCACACAGATTATGTACAAAATATTATGTTATACCTCAATTCCCAGCCTTTTCTTGTTGGCCTTTTCTATCTGAGCGAGTACATCGGCAGCCTAAAAACATGGTAGGACGTAAATAAATCATGTTAAGCTTAGTTCCAGATATATAATGTACATAAATCATGTTTGCAATAGGACATCTAAATATTTACTTACCTACAGAAGGATGACACTGATAGCTAAACTTTTCCGTTCTGATATCGCACCCATGTTATACCTGTAAAGCAAAGAGGAGCATATATTAAGACATTGCATTCAATGACATGAAATACAAAATATAAAGACCGGATAAACAGAAGGTTTGGGCAGAAAAGAAGCCCTTATTACTTATCCATTTTAAATTTCATTCATCTTCTGAATTTGCTACAAAATTGAATCCCAGTTAAACCACTGGGTCCCTAACTTCATGACTAGAAACAAAAGCGATGCATATGTTAATATATACCATCACACTAAAGTATACTTAAGCCTGAACCCATAGTATGCAGAAAGTATACCCCTTTCTCTCTTTTCTATTCATCTGAAATGTCTGCACTGAATCTTTCATTTATGTTTTTCTTAAGTTCCCCAACACTGTTTGAGCTTAAATGGCATTCTCTTTGACAAACTAATTATGGGGAGCTAATAAAAAACCAAATGACAAAGAAAAGCAATTAAGCAGCGAAGCATTAAAAAGCTTACAGCTTTTCGAGAAGGGCATCGGTCATTTCAATACGAAACGGATCTCTTGCGTCTATTTGCTTCAGTATATTCACCCACTTCCGTGTCATTCTACACAATCCCGAATACCTAATTTCACCAAAATTAAATTAAATTAATAAGTAATAACACAAATATTTACTCCATATCTAATCTAATTTGAACAGATATAACTAATTTCGTAGATTAACTTTAAAAAACACATATGGGGAATGAGTTGGGGATTCGGATGGAATGCATCCCAAATTCTGGGAATAAAATTTGCAAGTACAAAGACAACGATGCAGTTTTAACAATTGTTTGCTTTTATCGAGCAGGGACAATTGCACTAAGTTCCTTCACAAGAAAAATATAAAACATATGGTAAGATTCTAACATATTAAAGAATATTAAGCAATGACTAAGTAGGGATACCTTTAGAGCCAGTCCCCAGTTGTTGAGTGCCTGGATTAAAAATTTAAGTAAGAGAAGGGAAATACTTTGAAATAAAAATTAAAAGGCAGCATTAGCCAGCTAACAAGGCTTGCATGATGACTCAGATCAAGAGATGTTCAGAAACTTTCAAAAATATAGTTGCATCAGAATAATGAGACAACAATTTTGCAAGCTATAAAAAGAAAGTAACAAAGAACTGACAACAAAAAAGATATAAGGGCATGGGAAATTATGATATAAAGATGAGGTATCCCTGGGTAGATAGAACCTACAAATAGAATTTGGAAAGCAAAAAAAAAAGTGTTTTAACATGGGTAAGTTGGGCTGAGTTAGAGGTTACCTGAGGACTGTTCCTATTGAGCTGAACGACTTTTTCATAGTTTTTAGTTGCCTGAAAATTGCAAGGGCAAGGGTTAAAAATAGCTGGAAAACATTTAAAGATTTTCTGTTGATTAAAATTAATCATAATGTTAACCGAGAACAAAACAAAGGCAGAAAGAAGAGTAACAAGGTTTGCACCACAAATTGTTCACTCATTACTGTTGAATAAATTTGCATATAAAATTCACTAGTAAAGAACTGAGTCAAAGTGAAAATTTTCATTATCATAGTGTATATAATTTTTTTAAGGAATACATTTGACTCAAATGTGGATAAAAGGAGGAAGATATTTGACAAATGACTAAGCATACAGTATGGTTCCATAATACAGCTAAAAATTTACCTATTTCCAAAGTTCTTCTGCTTCTTTTGTACGACCCCACATTTTTGCTCTATCTGAGATGGCTATAGCCCAATTATAATAAGCCTCCACTCTCAATGAACACATTTCAGGTAATGATTACACCTCAAACTCTAACAGCAGTCATCTACATATTGAATTGTGAACTTTCTGGAGTGAGTTAATGTAGTAGTTGTCAAAAATGGCACTCCAAATGAAGGTCTATATGCTTACATCATTTAGTCTAGGGCAAAGCCGAGTTGCCTCCTCATACCTTTTACATGCCTCTTCAAGCAAAGCATCTTTTGAAGGTGTACCAGAATCTGGACCAACATTGTCAGCACGTACTTTCCTGCAGGAGGGAAAAAATATATGGTTTAGAGACAAATTAATTCAAATTTACAGAATCACTGCTTTGTTAGTGAAAGTTTAAAGCAGGGAGGTAAAAAAGAAAAATGTCAGGAAGAGAAGCTTAAGGAAAAAACCCTAAATGAAAATAACTATACCTGAAGAACTAGTGCCCAGTTGTAGAGTGCATCGTAATCTTCTGGATTTCGCTCTAGTGCACTAGCATACCTGCACCAAAGTCAGAAATGTGTTCATAAAATATTCTATTTCTAATGATTCAAATGTTAAGAAACAGATGCAGAAATCCGCTAACTAACCAATAAGAGAAAGACAGAAAAGCACCATGTACAATTACATATTTACAATTCTAAATTAAAATTAATTGAAAGCTACAAAAGAAAATATTAGATCTTAGTTTCAACATTCAAGTCCATGATTTCAAAACTTCAGTCTCTATACAATAAGATGGTTTATATATCATGGAGAGATTTTACCGATTTTGGTAAAGTAAGCAAAGTTATCACATAAGCTAGTAAGTAAAACAAACAAATGACAAGTGTATTATATTGTGACTGTTAGGCACTTCTACCACAAAGCTATGGTAGATGGTAGATTATACTAAGAGCACAACATAGGCTCATAATCTAGAAGTAGATAATGAGAAGGTTTACATGGACTGGCATGCAAATAACAAGCTATTCCATTGGCAAATACAATGGCTAAGCAAACAAATCTAGGAAATAAAGTCATTAAATATTCAGCTTGTTCCTATGCAACATCAAACTTGTAGTTTTGGTCTACTCCACATAATATATAGGTTCCATAAGCCTTGGGGTAGCCATAAGGAAGGATGAGTAAGCCACCTGTCTTGCGGTTGGGATGATCTGGCCTGTTCCAAGGTGCAATCTTTGCATCAACTATTTTGAATTTGACACCTCTGATGGGCTCATCACAAAGGGGTCCTTCTCGAGCACCCCACTGAAACCTGTTAAAAAGAATTTAGTCCCATTTCGAGGTAAGGGCCCAAATCATGAAATATGAAGAGGAAATAGTTTAGGCTACAACAGAATCCTTAACATCATTTAATAAGCTCTTGTCAACTTCACTTGAAAGGGTATCATCCAGCAAAATGTTAGGTCCCTGTTAGTGCATTGACAATACATCTAGAAAATTCTTAGATACGCACCTTCACTTTCTCATCTCGTATGTGCTCAGGTTTAAGAGAAATAGGCTTCTCCAAAGCAACAAGGCAAAAGACCTGCATTGTCAAATGACAGACTATTAGAATTTTCAAAATGAAGACATAATATAGCAAGTTTTCTATAAAGTGGGAGGAAATTACCATAAATGCCTGCTGGAACTGTATGGCACAGTTGAAGCATTGAAAGAACCACAAGTAAAGATCAGTTTTACAGTTAACATAATGCTAAAGGCAGAATAAAATGAAAAAATAATAATAAAAATTACAGCATGATAAATACAATTAATATTTTCAACTATTTCAAGTCGAAATACAGCATAGATGAAACTAGCTGCAGAAATTAAAGTCGCTAGCAATCTATTACTCCGTAAATCTTACTACCAAAATGAATATCACCTTAATTTTATAAAATTTCAGGAAAAAAAAAGGATATATAGCTAGAAGAAATTCAATTAAATTAAATTCAATGCAATTCAATTCGAGGAAGAGGGAAAGAGATAAGGAATTTACTAGTGGCGCCGACAAAAGCAAGCAAGAAGTAGAAGCCAAATAGGGTGAGTTTAGGGGCGGTCTTGAACAATCCTAAACACGGATGCAAAAGCTAAAGAGTTGCTCAACTTAGCCTGACCAGTTCATCTTCTAGTCTAAACTAGTAGCTCCCATAGTTCAAAAATCCTGTCTTAAATTGCAATGCAAAAGTGGGTGAACAAAATCTCTTACAGTATACCTGAAGCCATTTGGCAGCTTCGATCAAGTGAAAAGTCACTTTAAAGTGAAACATTCACTTATAAGAAAAATGTAAGGGCATAAAGAAACTCGCTAACAGCATCCTACGACTAAGCAAGGGGAGATTCCTCTAAAGCATTTTAATCAAGGATTTACCGTGGAAAATGGAAAAGCCCTAAAAGAGAGACACACTAATATTGTGCAAGACCTGAAGGGGCATAGCTTCCAAAACTAAAAAGGGATTAAGGGAGCAAGAAGGCGAACCTGATTCGGCGGTGGTGGCGGTCGTTGTGTCATTGTGTCGGCGACTCGGGGAGACATCGATCGGTGGTCGGCGCGGCGGGGTTGGGACGATGGTTGTGGTGGTATAGAGCAGGGAGCAGCGATCGACCTGTGGATGAAGATTGTTTTAGATCTGAGATGCGTTCCATTTTTGAGAACTAGGGTTAATATTAGGTAACCATTTTTAATAGAAATGGTTGTCTATTATAAAACAATTGCTTTTAAGGCAACCATTTTTATTAGAAACGGTTGCTTATTATAAATTAATTTTTCTTTAAATAAATAAAAAAGTGAATATTTGGATTAAGATTAGGCAACTATTCTTTTAACAATGGTGGCCTATGGTCAATCTTCTATGTTCAATTTTCTATGTTCAATTTTGTACTAGTGTATATAGGCGTGATCACTATTCTTTCGCAGATGCGGCCTTGAATTCGTAATATTTTGAGAGTACATACAGTTTAAAATCATTGGAATGGAGTATAGGGGCTCGGGCAGTTTTTTTTTTTTTTTTTTTTTTAACGAAGTGTGTAATTATTCTGGGATAATGCATAATATGCTGTCAGATACAATTGCAGTTTTGAACTGAAATCTTAGCTAATAGTAATTGTGATCACGACAAAGAATGGGGAAAAAAATCAGTACGAGGACAAATCCACCAAAAAAAAAAAAGAACAAGAAGAAAACAAACATTTATGATCAACGAAAAGAACTAAAAAAATCATGAACTCATCAAAGCACATGAATATATGGAATCACAAAAATACTAGGAAACTAGACAACATATACACGTAGCACACACCACTAAGTATACCGCAAAACTTCGAAGAATATAAAGCACACAACTACACATAATCGTGCACACAAATATATAAAGATGGGCATGTGTGCAGCCACAAATGCGCATGTGTGAGCAAAAAAAAAAAAAAAAACTATGCAGACACTAAAAAAACAACATTGTGATGCTAAAATACACACACTACCAAAACTAAGAAAAAAATATAGTGCAAGAATGAGTAATATATTGCACACGTTGTTATTGGCTTATGCACACACCGTTTCCAAAAAAACACAAGTGACGAACAGAGAAATGCAATATAAGAGCCACAAATCGTCTTGGTCTGTCATGATACAAGTTGGTGTGTGTCCCATACATCGTTTAAAAGCATCTAGGAGCGACACATAAGATGATATATCTTCCTTTACTATAAGACCCGCTCCAAAAGTTAGCACTTTTTGTGGTTGTCTATCCTGGTGAATGGCACAAATACCAGTTCGTACCTGCACACATTTCAGATTGTTAGCCCACTCTTCTGATTTCCAAGTCGTTCAACGTTCATTCTAGGCTATATTTACTGCAATATGCCGTGCACAATAGGGGCACACAACATAGTAAATATTGGCTTTCATTTTTATGCTTAAGTGCACACAGTTTTCAATTCATTATACCGAAACGTAAAATTCTCATCCGGGTTGTTATTCCGGTTTCATACTCTCGTCCGCCTGCCCTTCATCGTCTTCCTCATCAATTGTTGTCTCCGAAAATATGTAGTCGTTGCTTGTCGTTCATGGATGTTCCATTACCACTGGTTTCGCTTGCGTCCATGGCTGCGGATAGAAGAACTTCTCCCACCTCGTCTGTATTCCTCATTCGCTGATGAACATCCCACGATCGTAATTAGTGTTTGATTCCCTTCTGTATTACAACTCCTCCACTTATATTTTACGGGATTGCATTCCTTTTGTAATTAAACATGCTCTGAAATCTCTTATTTGCCCTTTGTTAATTATTTTAGGCGTGAATTATACTACTATGTAGAACGATCTCATCAATTAAATCTCTATGATTGTATGGATATGATTTGTCCTCACACACACACACACACACACACACACACACACACACACACACACACACACACACACACACACACACACACACACACACACACACACACACACACACACACACACACACACATATATATATATATATATATATATATATATATATATATATATATATATATATAAGCTTAAGAGCGCTCATATGTGGTCATGTCATTAGGTGTGGCGGTGTGGTCGTATCTGTGTCGTTGAATCAGTTTAATCTAACGGCAGTGGCTAATTCTGAGGATTTTAGGATTTTCGCGCGTTTTGGTAAGTGGGGGTGTTATGGTAATTACAGTGGCCATTTATAGCGGCCGGGTTCTAGAATATACCAACAGTGTTGACAACATGCACCAATAGTGTAATAAAACACACCATAGTGAAACACACCAATAGTGTATTCCCGAACATTGTATGGTATATTTATTCATATCTAATGGCGCGTTTTTTGTGATGCGCACCTAATTTGTGTATGTTTTTTTCTGTGCATTTCATAACATGGATGGGAAAAGTGGGAAATTCTTGAATAGAGTGTAAAGTTTAGACCAAAAGTTATAATAGTGGAAAGTGAATGACAATGCAATTTTCTACTTATTAAGTCAACTTTCAGCAGAGATACCAATCATACCATGGAAAAGAAAAGGTGCTAAATAAGACCATCTCAAAGATTAAATGTACCTTCTCAAAGGCTTCGTAACCATTTTGATTCTTAGGTCTTGGTCATTAATAAAGTTCAAGATGTCACAAACAAACTCAGCTGCCCCTGGCCCACTTGAGCTTCAAAAATAGAGGAAATAGGCAAAAAGAACCAGTTGAGTGAATAACAACACGTTTACTAGAGTACTAGACCTCTTTAATTTCGAAGTAATCCATTCACACTATGCAAGCATTGACAAGATTACTACTCTATACATACAATAATACCAACATGAATTGATCACATGATATTCATTCAAGCAAAATTAATCATCACCAAACCGATGCATTCATTCATCTATACTCAACGACAAGAATTGCATACATAAAAACATGTTAATCTCACTAAAAAAGACGCCAATATAGAAATAAGTACACCATAAATAAGTAAAGGGATAAGGGTCCTGTTGCTCTGACGAGCGGCAACAAGTGAATGTCCTGTTGCTCTGACGCTAGCGAGCGATGTCGCCGTCACAGGAAACGGGTGTCCGGCGAAGGAGGTGCCTATAGAGCTGCAAATGAAGTCTAAGATTGATGCAAGCTGACTTCTCCGATCAAATCTTTAAAAAAAAAAAAAAAAAAAAAAAAGGCAAGCTGCCATGGTTGACAGAGAAGCCGGTGGGCTTCTCCGTTCAGTTTGGACCGAGAAACCCGCTGACTTCTCCCTTCAATTTTTTTTTTTTAAAAAGAAAAAAGCAATCAGTAACGCCATGGCAGCTTTGCCAAGCTGCCATGGTTGACGGAGAAGCCGGTGGGCTTCTCCGTTCAGTTTGGACGGAGAAACTCGATGACTTCTCGGTTCAAATCTTAAAAAAGAAAAAAAAAGAAAAAAAAAGAGGCAAACAACAACAAGCTGCCATGGTTGACAAATAAGCAATGGCTTCTCCGTTCAGAAAATACATTTAGTATTAGTATATAAACTTTATATATTTAGAAAATACATTAAAATTACTATAAAACACAACAAATCAAATTTAAAAATAATTAAAAATTACTAAAAAAAAATAAACAATAAAGAAAGAATTTATTTGACCAATGAATAGTAAACATGACAGACAATATGGGACATAGAGAGTAGTTTATAATTATCAAGTCTTAAAAAATTAAAATAATTTAAACAAATTTTTAAAAAATAAAAAATACATGGACGCTTAGGCGCCCCCAAGCGTCCGAGGAGCGCCTAAAGATTTTTTCAACCATGGCTTAAAGAGAAAAAGTTTTGTATTAATGATTCGTGAGAGTACAAGATATGTAATTTCAAGTTAAGAAGATTATGTAATAACATGACAAACGACAGTTTTTATACCAAAAACTCTCCAGTAACCGCCCCATGCAAAGACGGTAGCGGTTATAGTTTGACCGCGTCACCGGGGCGAGGCCGAGGTTAAAATATATATTTAAAAGTTAGCATTTTACATTAATTAATTTTAGAGCAAATACCAATTTTGGACCCACGAGTGTTAATAAAATGAACGTTTTGGTCCACATGTTTAATTCCTACCAATTTTCATCCACGACTATTGTTTTAGTATCAATTTTTATCCACAACAATTATTTTAGTGCCAAAATTCATCACGCTGGTCACCCCTTCGTTTAAGACATGCCGAAATATGAAATTATTAAAGATAGTTTCGTGCTTTCAAATTAGGATCCCTATTTGAGCATGAATAAAGGGATTTAAGCCCTAAGATCTATCCAAATTCGCAGTTTTCCTCATCAAATTAAGGTAGGATGAAGATGAGAACTGCGAATTGGGATCAATCTTAGGGCATAAATTTATTTATTTATGTTCAAATTGAAATCGTAAGTTGAAAAGGATGAAAGTGCCCTTAAAATTTTTAGATTTCGGGATGTCTTAAATAGATGGGTGATTGACGTGATGAATTTTGGTACTAAAATAATAGTTGTGGATTAAAATTGGTACTAAAACAATAATTGCAGATGAAAATTGGTAGGAATTAAACATGTGGACCAAAACCGTCATTTTGTTAATACTCGTGGGACCAAAATTGGTATTTGCCCTTAATTTTATGTTAATGAATGACCATATTAAGTTACATATTTAGAAACTTAATTAGAATTTCGGGAAACATAAAATAAGCAAATATGAAATTTATAACGAAATATCCAAAATTGAATGAGTAAAAATTATATGCTGAATTTCAAATAGTAAATAATTGTTCAAAATCTTTATATTAATAAGTTTACTCATTTAAATTTAAAATGGCAACTTTCTAAAAGTCAAGTAGGCAGTTCGACAAAATCTCCACATTTGAAACTTTCATAAAATTTTAATTCAATTTTACTATTGTATGGAGTAAATTTTTAATCTTTTTTTTTTTTTTTGAAAGTAAATTTTTAATCTAATCATATATGGTAAATTTTTTAATTTTAGCAACCTTTCCGACATGTTGTCATCAACATTAGATTCATCAAAAATTAATAGTATCAAACTACCGATCTTGTTTGCTTTGATTGCTGT